CTTTGAGCAGTGGATTTTGTAATTCACCTACACTATTTAAAAATATTGGTCTTGCAGACAAGAAAGCCGGCTATCCCATGCACACATCAGGCCCATCTATACTACAAATGGGAACTTAAGCACATTAGGAAACTACAAGCCATACTCATGGATATCCCCAGCATAATAGTTTTGTGGCATAGGGCAGGCTATTGAAAATGATTATTTTCAATCCTGGGCCCAACCAGTCTCTCCTGTGGCAGGAAGCCTTTTTAGAGAGAGCATTTTCCCTGTTTCTAGGTAAATCACAAAGCCTGTCCCAGAACTGGCAGAATGCCCAGAGGTCAATGAAGTCATAAAATTATGAGCCTCACCCAGTATAAGCCCTGCCCACCTCCTGTGCCCTGCCTCACCACAGACCCCAGCTTGCAGAGTCTTGTCTGCTTCCTGGGAAAGGGAAGATCACACTTTACACATTCGTCACAAGAGAAGTGATTCTTACATAGTGGGCCACTACCACACATAGAACTTGATTATACTGTACATTGATTGCCTTGTTACAGCCTACCACTGCTGAGAACAATACTTCCCCCATAAATGCCCCAAACCATACTACAACAATGCCATTGATTGACTACTTTGCATGAGAAGGAGGAGAGGCAACATGCACAGAATTTTTTTAAACAATCTTGACAAAACAAAACAAGGTTCATCCATTTCTCATACACTTTGCCTGTTTTCTCCTGCATAGGGAAGATCCTCCTCTTCTCTTTGCTCAGGGCAAATGGCCCCTAGCAGATGTTACACTTAAGGTGTAACTAACTGGCTAACCCCCCCCCACATCTTAAAGTAGTAACAGGGCCACCCGTTAATGTAATTAATGGTGTGGTAGAGCAGGGAATAAGGCACAAGTTATTACATAAATATGTTGTTACACAAAAGCAGATACTTTGTAATAACTTTGTGGCTAGTTCCCATTGTGCCTTAAATTGAAGGCATGGCCAGGCCATCCAGTGATTTGGGAAGCTCCTCACCTCAGGGGTGCATCAGAGGCCCCAACTCCAATACACCCCTGAGGCTGGGAGCAGCAATCTACTGACTGGCTTGCTACTTCCTGGTGCTGGGGGAGCCCAGGCTCATGATCCCAGACTCCCCCTTGTACGGGCAATATGGTATGATTGGGATCTGATCCCTGATCCTATAGCTACACCATGCATGTGTAGTATGGCAGAAGGCGTGATTGCTGGGATCATGGATCTGGTCCCATCACACTTTTAATTGAACATCTGCCCGGGGCCTAAAAGTGGGGTCATTACAGTCAAATCATGTTAAGCAGAATTAAGGCTTAGCAGCAGCTCTCTGACACAGATGTACTTAGCAGCTGGTAGTTACACCAAGAAACACCAGAGATGTCCCAGGCACACTGGGAAATAAGGCACCTTGTCATAGGCAGCTATCTATCCCTAAGACAAGGCTTTGTCTTTAAGAATATTTCTACCCTAGCCTTCCATCAACATGATCAGTTCTTACAGGACAGGCAGGACAAGTGCCTCTATCTATCATCCTGGTCCTTCTTCATTTGGTACTTGCCATTCAAAGTGCAAAGTACTTCCGGTTCAGTGCTGCCTTTTCTGATCTAATGGGAGAAATACATAGCCCTGCTGTAGAGCTCCCAATGTCCCTAACTTGCCCCAGTGGCAAAGCAACACAGCTGGCACTTCCTAGAGAAAGCCACCCCAGTGCACAATACACAGGAAAATAACAAGTGGCCAGGTCTTCCCTTAAGTGCAACAAGGGCCACATCTACTTGCGGAACATTTAATTGTCAGTATGTGTTCACTGAGCTTAATCACAGTCCATCTAAGTTGCTGGGTTACAACATAGGTCTTGACCAACAGAGTCAACAGGTTAAAGCCTAGCTTTGTGTTGTTTAACATAACAGTGCTAACTTCCAACGCTGGGTTGTCATTTTGCTAAATTGTTTAAAACTAGCTCACAATAGCAGGGCACAAATATAATCCAGTTTGGCCACAGTGATGTTTAAAGCAACGCTTAACCATGGGTATTCCATACAGCTCTTTATCCTAAACAGGGGGAGGCGGCATATCTGTTCTTCCCCCAGAACTAAAAGAAGAATCACATAGGGTCCTGCTAATTCACCTTTTAGTTCATTCTTAAATTGCATGCTCTACCTGCCAAGTCTCACACAGCAAACAGTTTCCTGATACAGGAGAACAGAAGTCCTTGCTACTCATAAGAGCTCTGCAAAAGCTACTGTACTTGGCCTTAAACTAGAAAGTGACCGTTCTCAGACCTGTATTTGTGTACAGAAGTGCTCTGTGCACATTTTACAGCAACCTAGTTTAGAGCACTTTTTTACAGCACTACAAAGTTACGGTGCTCTCAAACACGGCAGAAGTGCAGTGTTGGAGGGACAGGGGGGCGCTCTGAGCCTCCCTGCACTTCCCAGACTAGGAGGCAGGGGAGCTTTGCAGCCTCCTGGGGCTTCTCTACTGGTCAACAATTTGACCAGCATCTAAAAGTGATTTAAAGCGCTGTAGGTTGCTAAGGTGCAGTGGAATCCAGCACTTCAAATTTAATACCTCATTTCACAAGGGTTAATTAAAAATGCTGTACACATTTTAAAGTTCTGTAAAGCTGTGCACTTCTGTTAAATCAGGGCATTAAAGTGCTTTAAATGGCAAATAAAGCAACTTCTGTACACACAAGACTCTTCTGAAGTGCTAAGGATCCAGAGCTACCCTTCATTCTCAGGAAAGTCAGTGGTTTCAGGAACAGTTTTAAGTCAGGAAGTACAGGACTTGGTCTCTGTAGCACACAATAAGAAAAGCATGCTAAGCATTCTGCACAGATGAGGTGCAATCAATTAGCAATGTCTGTGAACCTTATATCTTACTGCTAAGACCCACAAGTGTGTGGGCACATTTGAAATGCTTTTAAAATAAAGATAAAGGGACAAAGTCCATTCTTTGTGTGAGTCCAGTCAGGGAGTGAAAGAAAGTCTCCTGTGGATGCTGAAGTATACAACATATAGGATAGTTCAGAAAGCCCCAAAAGAAATGGACATTACCAAATTAGGTCAGCTAATTTCACTCCTCTACTATCTCAGAAATCTCTGTAGTTTTAAGGGGACTTTTAATCCCCCAATACAGAAGAACCTTGCTAATCAGCAACAAGCTGCTCATGTAATCAGCCATTTATGCAAACAAAATTTCAGCTTCCATTTAAAAAAAAAAAAAAAAGTTTCCAGTTCTCATGCCCCACAAAGAGCTTGACAAATATGACTCAAGTATAAACTAAGGAATCAAAGACCAGAAGGCAAATAAAGAGAGCTCCAATTTTCTTAGTCTCATAATTTTCAAATCAGGTTTTTTATTATTATTATTTTTAAGGTGTAGGGAATGTCCTGCTATGATTCTGAAACACACTGGGTTTGCCCTAATGAAACAGCCACTAGCAAGTCCCCTCCAGTGTATCTGTCAATAATAAGGTGGTCTTAGTGATGAGACTTTTCACTTACCAATTCAAGCCTCACTGAAATTCAAAAATTACACAATCATTTTCCAAACAGCATTTTCACATACAGCTGCCAACATTTACAAGACAGACTAATAATCAGAGGGCTCACTTTGTGACTTTTTGTAAAGTGGTGAACATCTAACCCTGAAAACACCCTCCTGCCCCAAAAAATACTGAGATGTTTTCCAGTCTTCAAAAGAATGAACATTAACTCTGTGTTACTCATGCATCCAAATGAAAAAGTGAACTCTCACTCACAAAACCTTCTCTATTTCAGCATCTCTAGTTCAGTTAGTCTGGTGCATCTCTACCCTGCCTTCATACATTTAACAACCCAAAGAACGCAGAATTTCATCAACAGCCTTTACTCCTTGTAGTACTTTAGATTTTTGGTGGGATTAAAGAAATGACAAACAACACAAAACCCTTTTCCTAGAAACCAGACAAGGGTATTTTTAGAATCTGTCCATCTTCAACAATCAAAATCTGAATAAATGTAAACTGCTAGCAAAAGCCACCTGAGAGCAAGGCCCTATACACACATACAGGATTTGGTCTTCAGGTCCCTTCAGAGCTGTTGAAAAAGCCCTTCTGCTAAACAAAAGCCCTTCCCCTCTTCCAAGGCAGAGGGTTGTGTGTGTGCATGTGTACACACATACACAACTCAATTCTTCACAAAGACACATAAAGCATGCATGCGTACATGTGCATAATAGTTACATGTATGCATGTGTGTATGTATATGTGCATGCATACATATATACACACACAACAGTGCACACCACATGTGGATGTTTATACAAATGCATGCACATACATGTGTCTCCTGTGAATACACACACACATTTATATCTCCATCTCCTGTGAATATAATTACCATGGGGGGGCGGGATATATATAACACACTGGTTGAGAATCGCTGTACCTGTGTGTACATACAGGTATAGATACATAAATATGTATATGCATGTGAGTATAATTGCATTGTGTGTGTATATACATATATATTTATATACATACATACACACGCGCGCATATATGATGTGTATGCGTATGCATCTGTGAAACTGTACTGTGTATGCACATAGATTGCAGATCAGTAAGAGACCTCAAGAGATCATCTACTCCACTTGGGGATCAAGCCTGCCACCTCGGTGATAGATACAGATATAGTTATCTATAGATATATACATACACACACATACCACAAGACACGTGTGTATTTATACACACGTACACATACATATACACACATATACATTGCCATAGTGTGTGCACGTACGTACATATAGATAGGTCTGCACGTACACACCCGGACACCGCAATTCCCAACCAGGGGTGCCGCGAGGAGACCTTGAGAGAGAGCCTTTCAGGGATGCCATGCAACGCAACGCAACACACACATACAGGTGTACGTGCCCCTCCCCGCCAAAGGGGCAGGCGCCCGAGTTGCTCCCAGCCAGCCCCCCGTCCCCGCGCACCTCTCGTCCACGTGCAGGCTGGGCGAGCACTTGATGGCGAGCCAGGTCCTCCAGTGCACGTGGCGC